ATGTTCATGCACACTAGTGCTAAATCTGCTGTTCAGTAATAACACGCTGCACACTACACTTAGCATGAACAGCCGGCTCCTTTCATGTAAACACGGTTGCTATAGTTACGGCTCGTCTAACTCCTACAGGCCAAATATAGCAGCATCAGCACTGGTTAGTAAGGGGTTAACGCTGTGACTAGCTCGGGTATCTTTGTGACACAGGGTTTATTTAGCCGAGTAACGAGCTTACAACTAAATCCTGAGCGCATTACAAGCGTCCCAGAGTCAGAGCTGTCCGTCACACTCTCTCATTTACATATTCATGATGGCTCCGCCCCCCCGCCGCTTGAACACTAGTCACATACTGACTAGATGAAGCAGCGTTAATAAGATGACGCTGGTTATTCTGAGCTCCTGTGTTTATATCCGGCCGTGTCCTTACATTGGTCCTCATATCCTCGTCACTGACCTCGTCACCACAAACTGATCCTGAAGCCTTCATTCTTGCACTGAAAAACAATCTGTCAAAACTAAGATCAAATACCAACAGCTGCCAGAACTTCACTGTAAAAAATACAGCACCAACATTTTAGGTTTGATAGATTTAACTGAAATTCACAGTAAAAAAAAAAGTGCAGTATATTTTATTAACAGATATAATGTTAAAATGCCAACCTAATGAAATACTTAAATTAGTTTTCGTCAATTTTCAATGTCATTTTACGTTTTTTTACTGTAAATTATAAGACGACTTGTTTTTTTCCACTTTCAAAAACTTTAACAGTAAATTACTTAAAAAAATTAATTAATAAAAATGTAACAGTATTTTACTGTAAAATCACATGAAATGTGTCTCTGCAGCACAAAAGCAGTCTTAAGTCGCTGGGGGATATTTGTAGCAATAGCCAACAATACATTGTATGGGTCAAAATTATACAGTTTTCTTTGATGCCAAAAATCATTAGGATATTAAGTAAAGATGTTTCATGGAGATATTTAGTAAATTTCCTACTGTAAATATATCAAAACTTAATTTTTGATTAGTAATATGCATTGCTAAGAACTTCATTTGAACAACTTTAAAGATGATTTTCTCAATATTTAGATTTTTTTGCACCCTCAGATTCCAGATTTTCAAATAGTTGTATCTCAGCCAAATATTGTCCTATCCTAACAAACCATACATCAATGGAGAGCGTATTTATTCAGCTTTCAGATGATGTATAAATCTCAATTTCACAAAATTGACCCTTATGACTGGTTTTGTGCTCCAGGGTCACATATTATAAATATCTTCATTTGTGTTCTGAAGAGGAACAGAAGTCTTATGTGTTTGGAGCGACATGAGAGGTGAGCGAATGATGAAATATCTGCTCTTTTAGACGAACCGACCCTTTAAAGTCACGTGATCCACAAGCATAATCTTATTATGTACTGTATGTTGGAAGTTTGTCTCATTATGAAGGTGGCTGATGAATAAGAGGGACTGACGATGAAAGTCACTTCAGAGAGCAAATGAACATGGAATATCTGATGTTTTCATACAGTTCTGGTCTGGTTTGACGTACCGGACTCCAGTCTTTGGCCGAGCGAGTGTCGTGCAGTGTCCAGCTGATCCAGAACATGTCGAGTCCACTGCAGAGCGTCCAGACCAGCGCCGGACCGCAGATGAGAGCTGGGAGACTCGTAGAGCCTGAGGAGACAGCAGAGCGAGAATCAGCTCACAAACGCTCCTCAGACAGCGAGGAATCCTTTTAGAAGACACTAATCTTCAGTCACAGGATTCGGCTTTCATGACTGACCCATGACGCATCGTAAAATAAGACGGACGCTTAATCGGCTTCCTAATTACTCAGTTTCCCAGTTTAGCTCCTGTTTTCACCTGCAGTGAATTATTCTGAATACTAAACAAAGACTGACGGCTTCTCGAGCGTAAAGACGAGCTCTTCTGTTGATGGGCCATCAGCAAACCCTGATGATCTGGAGACACAACCGTTAATTATGCCGTTCTGTTTGTGCATTTCATCTGACTAGTGTTACTGCTGTTGTGTGTTCAGATCAGTTTTATGCTTTATAAGTTCGCTCTGCGGTGCATTTTACAGATAAACAAACCAAATATTTAGATTAATAATGAGTTTTCTAAAATATTTATTTTTCTGTTCTATAACATGAATGAATCTGAAGTCACTGGGTTTCATTCTTTGTCATCATATTCAGAGTTTTAGAACGATGGTGAGAAAGCTCCCATGAACAGAACACACACATCAACATACAGTATACTGATCTCAGCAAACTCACAGTGACTGTAGACATGCACTAAAGTGTGTAGTACAGAGCAGTCGACTTGATTTTGGCACAAGTGGGAGCTCATAATGAACTACCACAGAAGTGACTGGTTAATAACTCTAGTCCTGACAGAAACACATCCTTGTGTGTGTGTGTGTGTGTGTGTGTGAGTGTGTGTGTGAGTGTG